AATCATTCCAACATAGGTAACAATAGTAGTCTTGATATATACAACTCACACAACTTCAAAAGTTTCAGCCATGCTTATGAAGGAGACCAAGTGATGCACTCACATGCACCAACCTAGGTCATACAGTAGCAACATTCCTGCCCTTGCTCTCCAGCAGCGGAGCAGACTCCACAATGGCTCTCCGGTTCTGAACCGTGTGCTTCAATAAGGAATTGTTTGCCTCAGGGTTCCCTCTGCCATTCCATCCAGGCCAGGCCAGGAGTAGCAGTCCCACAACCAGCAGGGACATGGAAAAACTGAAAGAAAAGCAACCTATCACAAGCCACAAAGCAAAATTCTGGTCACAGCAGTCAGAACTACCCAGAACTTTCAAAACAACACTACTCTCAATAGCCAGCTTTTGTTCCAAGTATAGAAAGAAACAAAACTCTTGAAGAATTGGATTTTTCTATCATAATAATAATGCTTTGCATGCAGGAAGTCCAAGATTCAGCCCTTGGTTCCTCCAGACAGGACAAAGAGAAACCTCTACCTAAAATCTTCAAGGCCAGTTCCAGCATTTCTAACCAATGGCCTAATAAAGTACAGCATTAAGGCAGCTGCTTATGTTTTGTATATGCTGGTCACACACATCCCCAACACACACACACACACACACACACACAGAGACATATCTCCTGGCTATGTGAATAACTGGTTGGATAATAACCAGCTGCTATGTGTTTTCATTTTATTTTGTATATTGTGAAGTTTATATATTTTATTTGCTTTGTTGTAAGCAGCGCAAAGTCACATACTGTAAATGTGAGACCAGCAACTGTATAATGAATGAAGAGATCATTAAAAGGAGTCATGGTGGTACAGTGGTTAAAATGCAGTATTGCAAGCTAACTCTGCCCACAGCCAAGAGTTCAATCCTGACCAGCTCAAGGTTGACTCAGCCTTCCAGCATTCTGAGGTTGGTAAAATGAGGACCCAGATTGTTCGGGGAAATATGCTGACTCTGTAACCACTTAGAGAGTGTTGAAAATCACTATGAAGTGGTATATAAATCTAAGTGCTATTGCTATTGCTAAAACATCTCAGAACCACTGAAAATCCCTGTGTATGTTTAAAAAGGATAAGGACCCTAAGCCAGAGGTCCCCAACCCCCAGTCCAGGGGTAGGCAACCTTGGCTCTTTTATGACTCGTGGACTTCAACTCCCAGCTATGCTGGCTCAGGAATTCTGGGAGTTGAAGTTCACGGGTGATAAAAGAGCCAAGGTTGCCTACCCTTGGACTGGGGGTTGGGGACCCCTGCCCTAAGCATTATAATTTTTACCTATATTTTATTTCAAAGAAAATATGCCACGCACGAGAAGAAAATCCACTATGGAAAAGATCCAAACAGGAAACTACAGAAGTGTAGCCATTATCTAGACACCCCTGTGGGTTAATCCTGGGAATGAAAGTTTAGCCAGCAATTAGCCTATGGCCAAGATTTGATTACATCAAACTTGGAAAAAAGATCAGGAGTAAATGCGATATATGTATCAAGCAATGGCAATTGTTTCCTTAAGTCAGACTGGTTCAAGTTCATGTGAAGCAAGAAACAAATAAAAGAATCTTTGCAAAGAACTTTGCAAAATAAGAAGAAGATGTTTAATTTGCCAGTTCTTGTCTTACACTTTGATTCTGATTCCAAGTAAAAGAGCAGCCAACAGTCGGTCTATGAACCCGATGGAAGCCACCTACATCACACCGAGACACTTAGGCTCAAAGTCTCTAAAAAGGACAAGTGAAGAGATGGATATCGATCCTGAACATAAATAAATGGCATTTATTTAATTGGACCTGCCTTTTGGCTATGATTAAAGAGCCAGGAGCCTGTGCTTCCTCTCCCCATCTTGAAGGCTGCTAAAAGGAATATCAATATCAATCCTAACCAAAGTTAAGAGCTCGGCAATGGAGTACTAATCAAGTCTTGCTCATTGTTGTTTCACGCAATCAGTTTGCCTGAATTTTGCAAGTGCCCAAATGTCTATTTTTATTTCACACAGCTATTGATATCAAACTCATTCCACCACGTGTAAGTACCTACTGGCCCATTTTTCAGCCCCTAAGCTCCTGCCAAAACTAAACAAATGAAATTTGCAGGCATTTTTCCAATTTCCAGCAGAGCAGTTTGCCAATTTACTTTCTGAAAATGCTTCGAGCCTCCACTAGGCATAGTTTAGCCCCATGCCCGCTGACGATATAATTCCCATGCCTCCTCCAAACTATTGCGAAAAGGAGGAGGAAGCCTAGCTCGCAAAAATATTCCCCACCCCTGCATCAACTGTATATCAGCTCTCTATTGTTAGATGTCAATTACCATTCCTGGAATCAAGGAAAGTCCCTCTCAGCACCAAAAACAATGTGCAGCAAAAGCTGGGAAGCTACTGACACGTCCTGTACCTGACTTTATATTGTTCTTTGCTCAGTGATCTAGAAAAAAGGGAAAACAAAGTGCTCTACGAAATTCTGTGGTTGGGATGAAAGCCCTCAAGTTCTTCAGCTTTAGAGGTCTGATTGCATATCCATTCCAGAACAGGTGGTGGTGTTTTTTTAATAAATTATATTGAAAAGGATTGCAGAGACAATCAATCACTTCTGGAGGGAGAAAATGGGACTCTCTAAAAAAAGTCTGTAAAAAAACAATTATCAAAAAGAAAGAAGTTAGGGGAAACTATAATAAGCCAGGTGTTTCTTTAGTGTCCAGAAAAAAAAGTTCCTTATCAAGGTACAACTCTTAAAACCGACCAGACAGAACTGAAATGCAGATGGGTGAAGAACATAGGAATCTGAAAGGAATAGCAATACAGGTTGTCCTCGTGTTACAACTGAAATAGAGCCTGCCCATCACAGTTATAGCTCACAAAGGTAGTAAAGCAGGCTGGTCATATAACCAACCCGACTTTATGATATTTTTGCAGCGGTCATTAAGCAAACACGGTAATCGTTAAGCGACACAATGGTTTGTTATGGTGCAGTTTTGCTGAAAACCAGAAGTAAATGCTGGTTTTCAGTAAAATAGATGCAAAACAGTTCAAGTGATTGCAAGATGCTGCAAACAGCTGTAAATCTTTGATAGTGAGATGGGTGGCATATAATTTTAATAAATAAATAAAATGCGGCCCAGTTGCTAAGTGCCCAAAGTGCAGATCATGTGACTTCAAGGGAGGTGGAAACCACTGGAATTTTGAATCCAGATCTTAAGTACCCCCCCCAGGTAGGTCCACTGGAACTTTGAACAGTCACTAAGCAATTGGTCATAAGTCAAGGACTACCTGTACCATCTCTTTTAAACCTAATCTGAGAAATTGAGTAACAAAAATGCCAAAAGATCTTCACATGATCAAGAAAGATCTTCTTCCCAAATCTTAGCACTTCATTCCCTGTTTTAATCTAGATCCCAACTTCGGCTTGCACACTGACTTATAACTTGGCCAAATAATCTGAAAAAGTAAAACACGGAGCAGGCATATCCAAACCAATCCTTTTTTTTTTTTTTTTTTAAGAAAGTGCCAGCACTGCAAAAAACTCAATAGCACAACATTTTTTTTCCTGAAACTTAAATAGATCAGGGACTATTTAACATTTTAGCT